CAGGGTCAACCCTATGTTGCCTATGTTGCTACACTACCAGTAGCAACGGGGGGTCGTATTTTGATGAGTTTGTAGAGGGGGGTCGTACTTGCTTCGATTGTAAGAAGTTGCATGAGATGAGTGGGGAGTGGCGCGGGAGAAAATTTGCCGTTTCAGCGCGCGTATATACTCCCCCTAGAAAAGTCGCAAAGCACGTGGGATTATAGGTAGAAGTGGGGTAAGAAATGGGGAAATTGAAGGGAATTTTCGGAGATATTTACTGTTTCAGAGTGACTATATACCCCCCGCTCGACGGCATTTTTGGAGGAAAAAGTGGGCGGGGTTTTGATGGAAGATGGAGATGGTGGAGGTAGGGAAAAGGGGGTCGTATCAAATCCACCTTGGGGGAGGGGGGTCGTAAAAATTTTTCGAAAAGTAGCAACGATAGGACCGACCCTGCTCTGTCCTACGTGACGCGCTGTGCATGGGCGTCACTAGCGCCGAAGTGGGACAGCTGTGACGTCACCAGCACGCTTTCGCGTCCTCACCAGAGTTGAGCCTTAGGCCCTGTATCACAAATTAAAGAATACAGAGTTAACAATTACAAACCCCCCAAGCCGTGATTGGAATTAAAATGTTTTGGAATGGGCCGAGCATATTTTCACCAGAACGCACCTAGTTTGAACAATTATGGCCCCAGCCGGACTCTAGAACGCGCCTCTCCTCGCTTTTCGGGCAAGTGCGCTACCAGTTACGCTACCGGGGCACCATTTCATCCCAACTCAGCTCTTCATGGTATACGTACCATGGCTTTCAGCACTCACACGTTTAACGTGTTGAGCCGGTTAGCCGATATCGGCAGTGAACCGCTGCAAGCCTGACGCTTTGGGCACTATGATTTTCGACTTGTCTTGTGATTGTTAAACTGCTGTTTTTGGCCGCGCAGTTCGCCTTGCGAATGTTTCACAAGAATGCTGGGTTGTGAACAAAACTTTCGCCCCAGGCGGGACTAGAACCCGCACCTCTCGCTTTCCGGGCAAGTGCGCTACCAGTTACGCTACCGGGGCACCATTTCATTCCAACTCAGCTTTTCATGGTATACGTACCATAGCTTTCAGCACTCACACGTATAACGTGTCCGCGCCCGTTTTAGCCGGTATCAGGCAGTTGAACCGCGAAGCTGAAAGCTTTAGCAGTTGCACAATCAAAAACAAGGCCGAGATAATTTTGACAATGACTTCAAGTCTATCAGACAGCCTCAAGGTGAAGGCGCCATGAGTGCAAAAAGGCCCATTCCGATGGTAAGTGCAGCTAGGAAGCCATCTTGCACCCCGTTCTAACCGACCAATCACGCCTCGCCTGCCGGGCCGGGTGGCTGAAGAATCTTGCTGCTTTCAGTGCAACCGTCAGATAATTCAGGAAGTAAACAGTAATCATTGTTTATCAACCTTCAACGGATATGCTTATGTTTGCCTTTTGGCTTTTTCAGTTGTGTAGATTTTCCACCGAACACCCCACCTACCTACCATAATTCACGGCCACCTTTTAGCTATCCTACGGCTGTGGAACAGCGTTAACATCTACTACACACTCCAAAACAACTGAGCGCAATTTAAACTTTGACGTTTTGGATTACTTTTTGGTACTTGTCTTGAGAAGCAATGATTCTCGTTCAGATTTCCACGTCAATGGTTGAGCCCTACAACTCAATATTGATGACTCACACCACGCTAGAACATTCAGATTGTTCGTTTATGGCCGACAATGAGCTATCTATGATATCTGTCGGAGAAAGCTTGATCTGGCCAGGTTCGCGAGCATCTGTAATAGATTGCATACTTATTCTGGTTGAGACAAACAATGTGATTGCCAACCGAGTGGGTGGAGAATATCCCTCTTTACCAAACTATTTTTTCATAGGCTTGTCGGTGTCTCAACAAAAGGAAGCATTCCGGGTCAGTCATACTTTTTCTACACAGTAAGTAATAAACAGACATGCTGTAGTAGGTTGAGAGAAGAATTTCTGAAACACCCCATGAACATCATTAAAATCTTTATCCTTCATTTCATCAATGACCCTCAAAAAGAGGGAGAAAGTGTATGTGTGCAAGAATAGAGGTCCATGCGCTATGGAAAGAGTTGTTGGACCGAAGGGAGGTGTCATGATAGCGCCATAAGGTCATTAGTTTGGCAGCTTCAACTAGCCTATGGCAATCCTCTCTGACTCACGTCTCCTGCTGTCCTCCTCCCACCACCAATCGTAATCATAACTTCTTTGTGAAAAGCGTTATCAGAGTTCCATAAGGAATTAAACTTGTGGCTATCCCGAGTCTTTTTTGTTTTTTTTTTCCAGCACGTGCAGACAACCCTTCATTGAGTTGGCTCGTGCACTATAGAAGGTCAATGGGCCAATTAAAGGGCTCCGTTTTGCGTGTTCTAGACGGATTTTGCCTCTTTGCCGCTGCAGCTTATCCAGCAACCCCCCTTCAACTAGAACCCAACTCAACCTTGTCTTCTTTGCATTAACAGAAAATAGTTATTTAATGAGCAATATCTCCTGATCATTATGTTGCGGCCCTCTCCGAATAAATAAAGAACAAAGAATAAGAGCATAAAAGCATAAAGCATTTGCCGTTGATCAATCCCTTTTTGGGATGCGCGCCACGCATTCTACTTCCATTTTTACATTCGTAGTGGCGTTTGAATGCGATGCTGGGCTATCGAACGTGCGGAGCCAGGGTGAAAATCGTGTCGAGTACGTGGTCGCAGAAGTACGACCCCCCCCCCCTCCCGAAATCGAGATCCTGGCACGACCCCCCAAAACAGAGCAAATTAATTCAATTAATTAATCAAAAAAAATCCTGCAAAATAAATCAAAAAAAATCCTGCAAAATAATGTTATGGACGCCTCATCTTGTCATCTATGCACTGTCTTTCATCGCTGCACACTTTTGTGTATTTACTGAAATATCGACTCGAGGAAAGAGGCATTAACTTTGTGTGACCTCAAAGTCAGGTTCGTTCAGAAATGCACAGAAATCCTGAAGGCACGGGGTTGCGATTTAAAGGAGGATTGCACGGAAAGAACGAAGGTCGAAGAAGGGAGAAATCGCCTAGTGGGGAGAGCGGTGAATCTCTTGAGGGTGCGGACAGACACGCAATCGGCATCGAAAGATTTGACCTCTGAGATCTAGCATGGCTCAAAGTTGGCGAGTTCGGCGATCTCCGCCCACCGATCGTCTGATCACTCGCCGTAGTACAATAGGTGGCGAGTGATTAGATAGCTGAGAGAGCGTAGGGTTGAAGAGGGCAAAGCGATGAGAGTCCCATCAATGCTCAAATCAACGGACAAGGAAGGGGTCCCATTTCTCCGGTTCTGGGCCGTTTTTCGTGGTTTCGCTTTCTTTCTGGTACTACTCACCATCTCTACCTCAATTTGGAATGGGTTGCTTTTCCATCGTAAATTCGTCCTTTAATCTCAATTCCTGCTTGAGTATATCGAAACAGCCGAGTGTATCAATCAACGGCCGATTCAACGGCAGCTGCGGCGCGATTGTCACTGGGTCAGATTTGCTGAAATCCCGAAAAAAACCGTCGAAATCTACACCCTCGATGAAAAGGTTGCATTCCTCCATTTCATAACCTTTGAAGCAGTTTGAGGTAGGGTTAGATAGAGCTGGATTTCGCGTTCCCAAGAAGTATTGAAATTGCTCTGAAAGTCTTCCATGCAGAAAGATAGGGTCTCTCAAATTTCGTCGAGTAAACGTCGAGGACGCTGAAATTTTCACGCGAGTTTTTGCCACTTCAAGAGCAATATCTCTCTTAAAACGTGAGATCCTGAAAAAGTGAAGATAGTTTTGGAAAGCGGAAGGTTTGCGCTTTCTGATGGTCTTCTTAGCTTTTCTTCTACATTTCCTAGTTGAGAAGATATCTGCGTCGAGTATGTATCGAGGACGGATCCGGCCACCTGAAAATCCGCTCCCTTCTTCACCATTGCAAGTGTAATTGTTGGCAACGCTTGAAATGGGTCTAGAAAACATCCTCCCAAACATAAGCAATAGGAAAAGGGGCAATCGTCATCATCGAATTTTGTCTGAGTATAGGCCATGCATCCGACCTCACTCGAAGTTGCAGAATCGATTCGAAGGTGTCATATGATCATGACCAGTTGACAGAAGCTGCATTGTAGTAAACGCATTTCGTAACTCCTTACAACCTAAAGAACAACTTCATTTGCCCAGCGGCTTTTCCTTCACGGTTGTCGTTTTTGCGACAGGGTCCCTAACAACAGTGTCATTCTCAGCGAGGTATTAAGGGAGAAGGAGCGAGCGATAGGCAGGAGGAGGTGCCTTTGCAGCGCGTGCGCACATGTGGCAGTCTTCTTTGCGGGGATGCACTTTCATTCTTTGTACTGCCTTCAAATACGCCCTTCTCATGAAGGTGGAGGAATGGAGCGACTGAACCTGCAAAGAAAATTTAATATCATGTTTTTTTCAGATATTTTCATTTTCTGCTGCGCTATACCCTCTTACCTATCTGCACCACGATACCACTGCTGTTACTGACCCTGAAAGAGTACGACCCCTCCCCGATGACGCCACGCTCCAACAATGACTACGAACCCGCCCTGTCGAGGATTTCCTCGCACAACGATGGATACACCCTGGGAAGGGGGCCAGCCGATGTACAAGTCAGTGTTTTTATCCTCCCAGACAAGTCTGGTACCAATTAACCGACCCCGGAGGGATGGAAGGCTTGGTTGGCCCGGGCGACTCACGACCCAGGATTTGATCCCCGGACCGCTCGCGTGGTAGCGTGCCACTTGCCACTACACCACTTCCGCTCAAAAAAGGGAAGAAATAGAAAATAAATTCCAAGAAATCGAGCTACGGGAAGTTGAGGGACGTTCCTCTCAACCTAGTATGTTCAATTATGTACATTTAACACGAAGATGCTGTACATAGTAACTGAAACTTTTGTGTCGCATGGTGACATATAATGCTATACGCTGCTCTGATCGCCAACTCCTTAAAGCAACAGTTCAGGAACGGTTTCGCGGGAAAAAACCACCAATAATGAAGTTGTAGATGAAAACCAGACGATTAATGTATGAAAAACTGGAAAAAAACGTCGGGGAGGGTCTTAGACAGGTACTCTCCCTCTGCCGCTCAGCAATGGATAAAGACGCACGTTGGACGAGTTGTCTGAACGTGCCCGCTGTAAACGCGCTCCATTTTTCAATCAATTTTCCCTGTGGTCCCAAAACGAGCACGATTGCCGACGCGTCCAATGACGGCCGGCAAGGGGGCGGGATTGGGGAAATCCCCAAGAACACCCATGTTTGAGGGACTTTCCACCCTGTTTTTTTGAGTTTCTGAGGTAAGTTCGTTTATTATTTCCACTGCATATGTTCTTCACTAGGGCTCGTGTATCCCTCAGTAGTAGTGGCATTGAAATTTTCGGACCCTCCCTGAACTGTTGCTTTAAAATGTTCACGCATCGGGCAGCCCATTTGGGCTAGTATTGGCGTGAATAGTCCCCTAACCACCGTGTGTGGTTTTTTTGCATATTTATTGATATTAGACGTTCTAAACTGGTTACGGCTGATTTCTAAGATTACTTTTTGCTGTTTATGCTTTGTTCATTTTCTACAGAAAAGGATGTGAAGTGAACCTTCAGCACGCGCCCGTCCCACCAGGAAGGGAAAAGGGTATCATCGTAAATGTATCGACGACGGTCTTACTGAGAAAGGGCGCATAGCTTTCCTTCGGAAGCCGTGTTCAGCAGGACCCGGCTAGGATGGGACCCCAAATCTCTGCGTCTCTACTCCAGTCGATGAGCATTCCTCATTGTCAAAAATGGGGGATGCGTATGCGTGCAGAAATGCCAAATTTTAGGGACCCGTCCCCGGCCGGTCTGCTGTACACGGTCAAAGCAGAGCGTGATTAGAAATAGCAGTTTGATTCAAACGAATTCTCAAATGTTCAGGCCTACCTACACCAATCTCAACCGCCTCATCGCGCAAACTGTTTCTTCTATCACTGCATCGTTACGATTTGATGGAGCACTGAATGTCGATCTCACCGAGTTTCAAACAAACCTCGTAAGTGCTTCTCATCTGTTGTTACCTCTCACAAGTAGGCTTTTACAGGTGCCATACCCGCGAATCCATTTTCCACTGATCACATACGCTCCACTCGTAGCTATCGACAATGCCCATCACGAATTAAACACTGTAGCTGACATCACGAACGCCTGCTTCGAACCCGGTAGTCAAATGGTGAAGTGTGATCCAAGGCGAGGCAAATACATGGTGAGAGTTTTATTGATTCTGAAAGCATTTCGATGCCTATTCTGTTGCACGGAATATAGCTGCGGTGCAAAGTGGGGTGACATGTAAAATAAGCAAACCAAGAAGAACGGCAAATCCTGCAGAATCAGCCATTATTGTTGGTACGATTGGCTGAAGTTGAAGTGCTACGCAGCTGTCATCGTCAGGGAAAGGGCCTGCTCTGGCAGCGCATAGCGAGGCAATTCACCTCCATTCCATGGCATGCGCACTTTTTGAGGCAGCGATTGCAGTAATTCTGGAAGGGTCTGGGGAAGGATGTGTGGATGTTCAATAGTATGGCAATGGCAAAAAAAGAGATTCGTCTGTAAGACGCAAATGGAACCGCTTTTTGGACGCTGATTTTCGCTCACAGATGAGCAGCGGCTGAGATGGCGGACCTTGGACAAGTTTACCGCGACGGCTTTTGTTGCCCCTCAGTACCCTTGATCCCAGCCTCGAGTTGCTCTACGCTGCTTGCTGCTAGCCACACAGCTCGCAATCACCAAACCGAAGGCCCTTCACGGGCGCTCAGCCCACGTACACTAATGGGTGGAGCGCATTTGGGGCGGAGCACTTTTCAAGTACTGCTCAACAACCAACGCACCTTTCCTTGTAGTAGCACCGCACCTCGCTTCCTTGGCAGCCAAGCTTCCGCTTCGTGTGGGGCATATGCGTACTTCCCCGATGCGCTTCTTCCTTTACTCGAAGTCGCCAAATTTGAAGAGTTTGGACAAAGGTGACTTTTGTGCTGCTAAAATTTTTATCCCTGATCTTTATCACTGCGATTACTTGTTGTTTGGACTTATGAATCCCGTGAAATCTTTACTGCTTTCCCACTGCTTGGAACAGCAATTGCATTTTATTCTGTAGTGGCTTTTCTGAAGGTTTGGAAAGAGACCCAACGAAAGAGCAGGATTTGTAAGTTGTTTGGGCGCTATCTATGAAGGATCGAATATCTTCTGCCTGGCCCCGTTTAAGGCAAGTTCTGCCCTTACTCTACAATGAGGCGACGTCGTGGCCAAAGGAACAGTCGTAAAACTCTGCCATTTCTGCTGTGACAGTTCGAAACGAACAGTGCAATTTGTGGAATGGTAAGCGTTTTCAAGGAACATGCTTGAGTTGCCTAGTATATTTTGACTGTACGAATTTAAAAATAATCGGTTGGTCAGAATATTTCGGGCTTTCAATTCCGCAACACCTTCCATTAAGAACAGTACATAAACACGGAAGAATTCAAATGGTGTATCCTATTACCCGGAGGGGAGCAGAAAAAACATTTGTCTCCTTTCACACTTCAGCGATTTTTACCGAAAGCTTGCTGCCGTTGGAGGAACTCTAGCAAAAGCGAACGTTTCTCTATGAGCAGACGCGGGCCCTTTTTCACTAACTTCGTCCTGTTCGGTATGGCGCCATCCCCATTGTCGTCGAGCTCAAGAAGACTTGACTCTAGACTCAAGAAGAGTTGACCACGTGCGGACTTGACCCCGCACCGTGGGCTTGGGAAGTGACGTCAATTGCCGCCCTGCCACCCCGCCCTCAATAAACATAAACAGTAGATGTGGCAATTAGTCGAGCAGTATGAAAAGAGCAGATGAGGGTTTGAATAACATTCAGAAGTGCATGAAGCCTAGCTATTATTTGTTGGGATTGCAGCCTTCTCATTGGCTGGTCACTACTGTTGATGTGACAGTAGAGCTTTCCCAGTTCTCCTTTCAATTTTTTGGTTGCTAAATTCTGTTTTTCGCCGCAGTTCGCCTTGCAAATGTTTCACAAGAATGCTCGGTTGCGAGAACAGAACTCTCGCCCTGTACGGTCTAGAACCCGCCCCTCTTGCTTACCGGCCAGATGCGATACAAGTTACGCTACCGGGGTACCATTTTATTCCAACTGTTTTCCATCAATGTTCCTCGCAAAACTTACACCTAGGCAATCGCAGCGTGGTCTCCCGAGGGAACAACCCCGGATGAGGTGGTGTTGAAAAGTCTTTTCTGTGGGGTGTTATAGAATAGTCTACTATCAACATCATCGAAGCATCTGTAGAGATATTGGTTAAGTGTCGCTTCTCGTGTAAATTCGTCCAAGTGGCAGTATTAGCACCTTTGTCGACTACTTCATCTTCTAATTGTTTTTACTACTTCGTTTTTTTTGCTATATCGATAATTTTCTCCCTGATAAACATTATCCTACCTATATACAGGGGGGGCCAATAAAAAAAAAAGACATTTTGTCTCCACTTCCAGATGGATTTAAGCACATTTTGCTCAATTCAGACCGAATGGTTCCAACTTATTATTAAAGAGCGCATTCCATTCTATAAGAAAATCTTCATAGTGGCCACCTACGTGGACGGCATCAGAAGAATTTGCCCTGGAAACATGGTGCACTGGTCGATCTCAATGGGGTCTTCGAAGGATCGTGTACCATAACGACCCTTACTGGAAAGCTAGTTCCGAGGGGATTTGCACAGTGGTAGCTAATGCCTCTAGAAAACTATCCAACATTAAATCGATTCACGAAATTGCGTAAGAGCTTCAGGCTGAAGCTCTTACGGTAGACCTCCTTGAGCCTGACGACGGTGACAGATGACGTCATATTCTGAAGACGGTGAGGGCAGTGAAGGAGGGCCTGCGTTCACTTATAGAGGGACACTTAGGGAATACTCTGCTGAGGAACTCCCGTCAACGACAGCAATCTCTGCGAAGAAAAAAGAGCCGAAGTCCGACATAGGCAAAATGTCTTTTTTTTTTGGCATGCCCCCCCCCTACTATATAATTCGCTAGCGTGTGTGTGTGTGTGTGTGTGTCTGTTTGACCGGAAATTCATAGCTCGAGTCACAGTAATGATAGCGCAGTGGTTCTTACATATGTTATAGGGGGTGGGATGGGGACACAAGTGGTACGTGATAGGAACTGATAACGACTGATAATAGCTGATAAGAGGGGCTAGAAAGCGAGCATCGCCAATTTCGTTTTGTCGTTCATATTGGTACTAGAGCGTCTATACTTACAAGTGTTATGTGGGGTGGTCCCGGGACATTGGTGGTACATGAATGAAAGCGATAGCAACTGATAAGGGCTGATAAGATGCGTTAGAACGCAAAAGTCGTCGATTCCGTTACCTGGCTCGCGTTGACACCAGAGCAACCATACTTACAAGTGTTATGTGGGGTGGGACGGGGACATTGTTGGTGGGTGATTGAAAGTGATAACAACTGATAAGGGCTGATAAGGCGCGTCAGAACGCAAAAGTCGTCGATTCCGTTACGTAGCTTGCGCTGACACTAGAGCGTCCCTACTTACAAATTCTATTTGTAGTGGTACGTGCACATTGTATCATTGTATGACCAGCTTACTTAATAGCAGTCGATTGCATAAACTCAATCAAGTCTTCAGCAAATGATAAGTTTCATTTCTATCAAGAAAGCCCAAACTCATTAAACCGCTAATCCTTTCGGGGTTCTAAATAATGGTGAATGTAAATAAATGATAAGCCTTAGCTCCTCACTTATGTAAATAGGCATATTTCATTTTCATTTTGAGACTGACAGCAAAATTCACCGCTAAATTATCTGAATTCAAGAAGAATGCTGGATGTTTACAGTTGTGAGATATACAGTACCGTGCAGTGAAGTATTCGTTTTCACTTTTTTAAACGTAACTCCCTCAAAACTCAAGCTTTTGTTCCGATTTTTTGTAGGTGAGAACACATCACTCTACCTGATAAGGAAGCAAATCTTCAGTTGTCTAGGTGGCTTCTATACTAATTTAGAAATTTTTAATTTTTTTCGGTCCAATACCATATTACTTGTTCGAAATTCAATCTATCTAAAATTCAAAAATAATAACAAAATGACTTATATAATAACAGACGTAACAACTACAACATCAGCACTTTGTCGCAGAACCGTTTTCATCTACGACGGCTTGACACCGGCGAAGCACGGAATTGGGTTTTTTCTTGGTAGAGGTTCCCCTACGCGATCTTCAGTGGGACGGACTTTTCGAACTCGTTGTGAGCTTTTGGGCCTTCAGCTTGACTCCGAAAATCATCCTACAGATTTTTGCTCTGATTCAAGTGGTTATACAGGCTCA